TTTTTTTGCGCGCGAAGCACGCGAGTGATTTTTGTTATGCTTTTTAACGAAACTTCCGAACAACGTTATCTTTCTTCATTCCGAACGAAATGTATTCAGTAGAATAATTCACAGGCGTCTTTTATACGTACAAATCTACTACTTCACGTTACTTCAATTGTTCGCACAGGTATTACAGCCACAGTAATTTCTTCGGAAGCTCGAATAGAAGGAAATCTATCATGTACACGTAACGTTCGAAAAAAATTAGACGATCAAAACTACTGACAAAACGAGGACTATAATTTGTATAAAAAGGAAAAAGAGAGAGAGAGAGAAAATATATTCAGCTACTTACTTCATTTGTTTGACGATGGTACTCTTCCCAGACTCGCCGGCACCTGAAAATTGGAAACAATGAATTAATTGCATAAGAACCGCTCGATCGACGAAACAATCTACTTGATTTTCAAACTCGATTCTCTCGATGACGAAAATCCCATTTTTTTTTTCTCTCTTTTTCTTTTCCGAGAGAAGGAACATTCGATGTTTCAAATTAGAAAATTTCAATCTTTTCGATTCCAATCAATCCAACGTTACGAGACACACCCTGTATATAAACGTACGAATCAGCTCTCCGAGAGGATTTTCTGGTAATTTCCTAATAAATTCTCGGTGTTCTCCGAGTTTGTCCTAATATTTATAAGCGAGGGGAAGGGAGGGGAGGGGAGGCGGAGGAAGAAGCGGCGCTCGGGACGGAAACTGGGAAACCGGAAATGACGTGGCGCACTGTGCCAGCGGAACTTGTTTTCCTGCTTATGGGCGGCGGGTCTCTCCTCAGTTAAAAAGCTCTTTCATCCCAAACCCTGTTAAACTGTAACACTTTTATCAATCGTTTGAATTCCAATTTTCTTCACTCGAGTCTGATTCACGGTGAAACGACATTTCTTTACGATTAAAGAAAGGGAAATAATTTTAAATTGTATATAATATTAAAATATTAAAATATTAAATTGTATATAATATTAAAATATTTATATACTATATATTATATACTATATATTATATATTATATATTAAAATATTTATATATTATAATTATAATGTATAATTATATATATTATATATTTAAATATTTATATATTATAATTATAATTATAGTATATATATATATATATTATACATTAAAATATTTATATATTATAATTATAATGTATAAATATATTATATATATTATATATTAAAATATTTATACATTTATAATTATAATGTATAATTATATATATTGAATGTTAATATATTTAAGATAATTTTGAATTTCATTCCTACAACTTGCACGCGCAATTTAACATGGATTTTCATTTCCCGAACAGTTGTTTTCAGTTTTTAATCGTTTGAAGAATTCGCTCGACAAACCATGGTGTTTCTTTCTCGTCTTGAGTAAGACCATTCGTTTTGAATGAGAACGATTCGTTTAATTAGTTCGAGTAGTACACGTGCATCGTGGCAAGTGTTTCGAGTATAACTGGGAAGGAGCGAATCAACTTGATGAATTCGTGGCGACAATTAGATGACGCAACCGGCTTCATTGTTGAAAGTGTGATTTTTCGGATTTCATCACGTACGATACAGAAAAGTCCACGAAAAGTCGTGAAAAAGATAACAATTAAAATACGACAGCTAGCCTTCGAGAAGATCGAATTTGAAAATTCATCTGATATAATTTTGATCGACGCCGAAATTAACATTCTTCTTTCGTCAATGCTGCTCTGCCGCCCTCTTTTTGTCCAATTTTTAAAGAAATTACAGAATGTTTGGTTGTTCGACTGCCATTTTCTTAAAACTTAAAATTGACGAAATGTGAAGAATTAGAAAACAATTAGAAGACTTCTGAGACTTCTTTTCTGATTACAGAAGAAAAAAGAAGAAAGAAGAAAAACGAAGAAATGAAAAATGATTAATTAATGGGGCACATATTTATTGGGAATTAAATTGGGAAATTTATATATTTAATATTTTTAATATTATTATGTATTTATAAAAATTATATATAATATAATACATAAATATAAATATATAATATTATTATATATTTAATGTATATATTATATAATTATATATGTATATACTATATATTTAATTTATATATTATATAATTTTATATATATATATATATATATAATTTATAAATTGGGAATTTTTTGGTGAATTCAGAAACAGAAAGAAATTATTGCCATCAGCGCCATTATTTATACTCTATAGCTTTTTATTACCATTCCGGCTAATATTACGGACATTCTCCTTATTGCTCTCTCTCTCTCTCTCTCTCTCTCTGCGATTATCACTCATTTATTGTTATTGTTACGTGTTATCACCAGTGATGCGAGTTTTACGATATTCGAGAAGCAACAGTGTCCGATTGACGCACAGTGTAATCCGAATGCCAATAAATTACCATCTGTACTCCAGAGTCGTTCGTCGTTCGTATTCTTGAGAATAATGGCGAGACAAACAAATTGAAAATTAAACAGACTGAAGAATTTCTTCAAACATATCTCCAAACATATAGATCTTTTACATTTTGCATAGAGATTATAGAAAATTACAAAGATATTTTTGACAACCTTCTGTTTTTAGTATGTCAGTTAATTTATACAAATATTCTCGACTACGTCGTTTTCTTTTTTTTTTTTTTTTTTTTCTTTTAAATATCAAAGCGAGTTATTTATCGTTTTTAAAGAGAAGAAACTGCTGGAAGGTTTCCGGGGATATGTAATCGAATACTACTCGGAATCAAGTGTTAATCCCATTCATGTGCACGGAAATTCTGGAATACAATGCGCTAAAAATACGGCGGATCCGATCTATACAAAATCTAATTTTACATCGCTAAGAGCTAGGTAGTTAATTCAACAATTGACTTATTTCCGATCCGGTCCGCGAGCTTTGCAATTCACGATTTCAATTCGCACGATTGTATTCTAAGTTTCGAACATGACGACATACATATCTCTTACATCAAATTTTTCTGTCACACCCTCCTCTAATATATATTTAATTCGAGCATTAATTCTAATCCGAACTGCAAGTGGAATTTATTTAGTTTAATTGACAAATAATAATAATAATAATGATGATACTAATGATGATAATAATAATAATGATACTGATGATGATAATAATAATAATAATAATAATAATAATAATAAGAAGAAGAAGAAGAAGAAGAAGAAGAAGAAGAAGAAGAAGAAGAATAGTAATAATAATAATGATACTAATGATGATAATAATAATGATAATAATAATAATAACAACAACTGTTATTATATTTGCATTATAACAGTAATTATTATTTCCATATTCAGTAACTATTATTTCTATATAATTCAGATATTTATCAGCGATTTAGAACTCCTACTAATCCCAGAACAATCAGAAAATTAATTATACGTTGTAATTATACAAAATTCAATTACAAGTCGGAATGACGAAGATCTCTCGTAAAACATTTGATGACGATACTGAAGAAAATTTCAGTTTGTCACAAAGGATGATAACTTTTTTTTTTTGGCTGACAATGAGTTTAAATTTGAAGAATCAAGAGAGAGAGAGAGAGAGAGAAATATCTCTCACGGTTCGATCGATCGAGGCAGAGACAAAGAAATTCCTGGTTTTCTGTCTCGAACATTCAAACCCGAGATTATTCGAGGGAAATCTGGGTCCTGTTTATTGGTGTTACCAATGACGTCACTCCTTTTGCTTGCGTCTTCCACGAGTATTTTCATCCCATTTATGCTGCAGGAAACGCACACGATCGCTCCCACTACTCGCATGTACATCACTCGCTAATTTGAATGCGAGTTTAATCTCTGCTTATCGATTAACGCATCGTGCGCGAAGCAACGAAAGTGGTATAATCCTTTCTTCCTTTTCTCTGTCTTTCTCTTCCCTTTGGGGATATAATCAGCAGCTCGTTATACTATACGTAAATTTGTTGTTATTATTCCTTTCTCTGAGTGTTACCCATCTCTCGATGGTTAATTATTTGAAAATTTTATGATTATTCCTCGTTTCAATCAATGACTTTCGACTCATTTGTAAGTAACTGACCGCTGCTCTTCCTTGCCGGAAATGAAGACAATTGCGGGGCAAAGAGGGATAAGTAAATATGCGAATTAAATACCCCGGTGGGATTAATTTCCTCGATAAATGAATAATACAGAGTACAAACTGTATATTAACAGAATAATACAGAGTATTGGAATATTATAATATTATAATATTCTAACATTATAATATTATAACATTAATAATAAGAATAATAATATAATAATATTACAGAGTAATATAGAGTTATTCTTATTATTAATATTATTAATATTGTTATAATAAGAATATATGATAATAAGAATAATAACATAATAATATTACAGAGTAATAGAGTATTATTCTTATTATTAATATTATTAATATTGTTATATTATAATATTATAATATTCTAACATTATAATATTATAACAATATTAATAATATTAATAATAAGAATAATACACTAACATTATAATATTATAACAATATTAATAATATTAATAATAAGAATAATAATATAATAATATTACAGAGTAATACAGTTATTTTTATTATTAATATTGTTATAATAAGAATATATAATAATAAGAAAAATAATATAATAATATTACAGAGTAATACAGTATTATTCTTATTATTAATATTATTAATATTGTTATATTATAATATTATAATATTCTAACATTATAATATTATAACAATATTAATAATAAGAATAATATTAATAATATAATAATAATAATAATAATAATAATAATAATAATAATAATAATAATAATAATAATATTAGAATAATAGTATAATAATATTAAATTACTATTAACGCTCTCTTCACAAATTATTCAGCCGCTTTCCACAAAAGGAGAAATAAGTACAAAAATTATATTAACATCTTCCACGATATTAATTCCTCGCGTTCGCGTATGAGAAATGGGGCATTTCGTCAAGAGCACGTCCGCCATAATAATTGCACGCTAATTACGGCTTGGTTTATTAATTTTCGAGCCAGGTTTTATATGAAGGGACACCAAAGGGTTAGAAGCAAACGACAAAGTCAGGGGAGAAATTGAATTCACCAGGGAATTGGCCAGCCAATTAACGAAATAGTTCGGATTGATTGTCTCTAGCAGTGCTTTCACTGATAAAATTCCTTCGAATCGAAATTCCTCACAGTGACTTCCGGTTGGCTCCCGGTTTACTCGCGGCTGAAGAGGTCGATCCATTCATCGCATTACCAGCTCATTCGACGTGACATCATTTGTCCTAACGACGCAGATTTTTAATTTGACGTTTCAAACGATCGATAATATTTGCTTCGAACGACTAATTAAATCCGGGCCCAGAGTAAGTGATCCGGAGACGAAAAGTTCAGGGATTACTTGAATTTAACAAAAAAAAAAAAAAAAAAAGAATCATCTAAGAATTTTTTAAAACCATGTAGATTCTTTCGTCAGACAGTTATTAAATTGGATTAAAAAAACACGCGTGATTCGTGAAAAAATACTAAATTTACTAGATTGTTCCTAGGTGGTTATAATTAGAAAGATGTTCTCCAAATGGCCAGTCGATAGTTACATAATAAACACTCGCCTCTTTAATGGATGTGTATTGTTTGTACTGTGGTCAATCCAACCCATTGAGACATCCTACTTACATAATGTCTACATAATGTTCCTTTTCCCTATACGTCTACGAAACGACATACCAATTCTTATTACCATCAATTGCCCTTTATTGATTCAAGAAATGGGCAACTGCCATATTTACTACACATATACAGTAGTACTCTCATAAGTGACCACACTTTTTGGACTCGTAAGCGTTCGTTGCTTGTCCCTACCAATTTTTGGAATTGGGGCTATCACCACTCTTTCTTTCAATGCCAATTTGCAGAATACCACCATCTCTTTTAAGGGTCCATTTTCGGTAGTATAAATTTAGAAATTGAATTGAAAAACCAAATGGAATATTTTTATCTAAATTAATTTTTCTATTTGTTGAAAAAAATTTATTAAAATTAAAAGTAACAAATAGAATTAATATAATAAAAATTAAATATATATATATATATATATATATATAAATTTCATATATTATAATTAAATAAATTTTTTAATTGAAAATTAAATGCAATAAATACATACATATATAAATTTAAATTAATGTATAATAAAATAAATATACAAGTCCCGACTGTGGACACTTATGGGGACACTCACTATATTTGATATACATTTGGTTCTGTTTCATTTTAATCTCTCAATCCTCTCCTCTCATCCAGTTCTCCACATCACTTCCACCTAAAATACAAGGTACAGCGCAGATAAGACAGTGAATCGAACTCACCAAGCAGCAGTAGCTTGATATCCTTGGCAGCCTGGATACCATCCTCCTTGAGATTCTTCTCGATCTGCTTGCTACGGGCCAGTGCGGCCCGCTCTTCCGCTGACATGGCGCAGCCCATCTTGCCACACGTTATTTTTACAAACGCCACCACCAAGCCTCTGTCCGTACCCCTGGCCGGCTAAGAAACCGTTATTCTACCCTCTTCGTGGCCACCACCACCACCAACACCACCCAACAACAACAACAACAACAACCCAGCAGCACCGCTCCGCGACTCACGTTGCAGGAGTCGCCGCTTCTTCCACGGTCACTACCACCCTCCTCCGCCGCCACCACCTCCTGCACGTCACCACCGCCGCCACCCTCGGACACCTACGCCACGACCGCGTCGTCTTCGTCTTCTTCGTCACGGGTATATATCCGTCTTCCTCCGGTCTGGCCTCTCCTCCTCTTCCTTACTAGCTACTGCTCCGCGACGCTCGCCGCCCTCTGCTGACGGAGCCCGCCACCCTGGGACGAGTTTCACCCTCTCTTAGAGCACTAGACCTGCAACAGCAATCCATAGATTTAGCATTTTGACTTTTGAAACGACGAACGACGCTTGCTAAAATGCGTAATTTCGCGCTTCGTTTTTCTTTCTTTCTTTTTTTTTTTTTT